TTTTACTTGCTTCTAGTTTTTTTTAGTAAAACAAAGGATGAGGCTTGCATCTCCCTCCCAAAACTGAAAAGTTTGTTTCAATGGCGGTTACCTTCAGGTTCAGATGACGCTTTCTTGATCTCCTATCAGAATTCAGTTCAGTTTGAAGTGCAATTGGTGAAGCATTCAGGCAGTGTCACTGTTGTTGGTCTTGAAACAGGATGGAGATGGCTTTGAACTACCTATTTGGGCACAAACAAAGTCTTTGTGCCAAAGTTTCTTCTCTGGGTACCTAAATTTTAGCATGTACGCCACCATTCTGTAGTGCAGTTGTCGCTTCAGGTGACTTAATGCCTTAGTACCTAAATTTTAGCATGTACGCCACCATTCCGTCATCGCTTCAGGTGACCTAATGCCTTGCCACAGATGACTAGTCACACTTCTTTTTTTTCTACAGGATAAGGGAAATAATAATGAGAAAGCTTATGTATATTTTAGGAAAAAAAGGCTTCTCTAACGTGAGAGCTGCTTGTGGAACAAGATGTGTGCCAGTGAATGTTTTGACTACTCAATGTGTACTGGCCTTCAGTACGTCCTCAGAAACACATTGCTGCTGCTGCCTTCCTGTGCAAACTGATGGGTGATAGTTTGGGGGTTTTTTTAAATTTAGTTAGTTGAAGAAGTCACAAACACAGTTTAATAAATAAAGTTTTATGTATCAATATGATTACATGAGGCTGAATGAATTTGCATGCTGTTATTTCAGTATGGACTTGAGAAATTATTGTAGCATTTGGTTCCCAAGTACTTCAGCACAATTGTCCTCACGTGAGCTACGTTTCATCCTTTTAGCCCTTAACGGTTTCATGTCATTGCAAAGTCTAACTTCTTGCTTTGTTTGTCACGGCTGGCATTTGTTATCCTGGGCCATCAGAAGTTGTTTATTGCAGAACTGAGGAAGGTCTGTAATAGCCTCATAGCAGAATCTAACAGAATGTAGCTGGGATGTTGTCGCAAAATTAAATGAATGTTACTATTTATTTCAGCACTACCCTGCAGTTGCACTTTCTTCAGAGGAAAATATCCTTTCTGCTGTTGTTCAATTGCTTATCTTTGCATGCAAATAACAAATAATCCCTTTCTGTGCTAACTCTCCCTTTGGTTTTGTTTTCTTGAAAGAAGGTAACATGGAAATAACTCAAGATAGAAACTTGGTTGCTTGAGGTAACGGTGACAAGCTTATCCAGTCCCGCCTGTAGGCTTAAGTTGTGCTTAAGTTGTTATGAACCCAAATTTCATGTGAAATGAAGTTGGAAGAAGCGTTGCACTGGTGCAGTGGCTGTCTCAGCTTGATGTAGGCAGGATTGCCTGCAGAGCAGCGAGAGCTGCATGAGTGCTGGTGTTACCCTATCTGTGCAGCTTACGGCTTTTATCAATGTGCGTGGTGGAGGGGGGTTCTTTAACAGGACAGTTGCACCTTAGAGACACTAACAGATAAATGTATTTGATTTCCGGGGTTTGCCATCTCAGTTTCAGTATTTTGTTTCTGGCTTATATGTACGTGGGTGCCTCGAGCAATCAGATCTCATTAAGACACTTTCCCAGTGGCTGCTCAGGCTGATCTAAGAATGTGGCACTTTTTATTCAAGTGAGAAGAGCGCTCAGATTCTTCCTTCTTAGTTGTTATTCCTTGACTCTTGAGTATGTACTGATGAAAACTGGAAAAAATAGCTTTTATAGAGTATGTGTATCTATGGGGCTTCCATTAGTGCCTGGTAAAATGTGGCAATGCCATTCTTTGTAAGCTTAGACTGTTTAAATTGTTGATGCCAATGCCTTGGGTTTTGGCTTAAATTTCACTGGTGCCTTTACCTTCGAACCCCTTGGGCCTGCTAAGACTCGGGTCCTTGACTTTAAGGAGGTGCTGTACTAATTGAGACACATGGAGATCTTTAAATTTTTTTAAAACCTGGTTTCATGGCACCCCTGTTGATAGCAAGGAGTACCTGCATTTTTATTTTACTGCCTTTTAATGGCTTGGAGACCTGAACAGTTCATTAAACCTCTGCTGCCCCTACTGAGATCTCTAAAGAGATAATGAAAGGAAATAATACTGAGCCAGGTGAAGAATTGTACTGAGACATACTGTAAAATACTGTGATTCTGTGGTGTAAATCAGTAGCACTGTCACTTGAAATATGGACAGAGGTGGACAGTGCTCATCTCTTTGACTGTATAAACCAACTTCTGTTTCAGGTTGTTAGGGAAGAATTGGCTGTGTGTGATCATTGTGTACTTGCCTTTCTCAGTTTTTCTGAGAGGTTTGGGCAGCCTTTCCTGAAATAGCACAGCTCCCAGTAAAGAAAAGATGTAGTGTGATACAGATCCAATGTAGTGTAGTGGGTTGTCACAGATTATTCTCTTTTGTACCCAGGGGCATTTTCAGTGTTCCTCGTGGTACACCGGCAATTTGTTAACATATGTACTTTGCTTATTGGTATTTTCATGTGTGCTGGCTATGATCTGCTTTTTAATAGGTTCTCTTTAAAAAAAAAATGTGATGAAACTCTTTCCTTGTGCATTCTCACGAGTGCTTGTGGTGAAGATTGTATCACCAATTTTGTGTTCATCAATTGCTTGTGGGGCAGGAGAGCCAAAAAAAGAATAGTCTCACCTGTAGAAACTGAGATCCTTGTTCTTTTAATGTTGGTTTCTAAGTAAAATTCCTGCATGTGTGCCGTTGCTGTAGTATGGGTCATGTTAGGAAGATTCCCAAGTTGCTCAGATTTTGTTTCTTTGGATGTTCCCACTTCAGACATGCACAGAGCTCAAACCTTTGATGTGTTCTTGTCATTTGGGTTTGGGTCTGATTATCAAAATGACTTCCTCTGGGGCTTCCCATGAGGCACTGCTAATCTGTAGTTCAGAGTCTTGGAAAGTTATAATAAAGATTTGGGATAATCCTAAAATTAAGTTTTCTGATTTCTTATCTCTAAGTTCAAAACTTGTATTTCGGGCTTTGCCTGCTGCCTTGCCTACCCATTTATTTTTCAAGAGAGAAAGTAGATGAAGCTTTCTTTAGAGAACTGGAGGGAATCTCACAATTACAGACAATGGTATTCATGAGTGAGTTCAACCTTCCTGACAACGTGAGCTGGAAAAAAACCATGTCAGGCGCTGGCAAGCTGTCATAAAGACTTCCAGAAGTCCAGTGCTGAAGATCATTTTATGGCATGGTTGATCTGCGAGACTGAATGGATGCATAGGAGCATAGCAAGTAAAACCAAGAACTGTTCAAGGCAGGATTATAGGTTGGCCAGCTTCTCCTTGATGCCTGGGAAGGCTCGTAAAGCAAATCCTCCTGGGAGATGTGTTCAGATCCATGAAGGACAGGAAGGTCTGTGGAACTGCCAGCGTGGATTTACCCAGGGCAAGTTCTAACTGCCCGACTAGCTTGCCTTCTGTGATGAAACAGAGGGCTCAGTGGGTGAGGAAGGGGCAATAGGTGTGGTTTACCTTGATTTCAGTAAGACCTTGGTTTTCTGCAATATCTTTGGAGCCAAATTGGACAGAGAGTGGGAAACTGTCCGGACAGCCAACATCAAAAGGTTGTGGTGAGTGATATGAAGTCCAGCTGGTGGATGGCTGCTTGTGAAGTTTCTCTGGGGGCAGTACTGGGGCTGATGCTTTTTATCGCTCTTCTTGTGACCTGGATGATGGGCTAAAGTGATCCGCAGCAAGTTTCTGGTGAGAGAGGCTGGAGAAGTGGCTGACAGGGACATCACAAAGTTGAATAAAGGCAAATTACCAAATTCTAGGTGTGCATGAAAACACTGTGTGCAAAAGTAAAAGCTGGGAAATGTCTGGATAGGAAGCAGCTTTGCACAAATGGACCTTGGTGTCCTGGCAGAAAAGTTGAACTTGAGTCAGCAGGGATGAAGGACAGTTGTGTTTGGGGCCATGTAAGCAGCAGTGTAGAGAGCAGAAGTGATTCCTCACTTCCATTTGGACTCTAGTGACAGCCAGACCTGCAGTATTGCTCCTAGTTTTAACTCCTCAGCTCAAGGAAGAAACCAACATGCTGGAAACGGTCTGGTGTGGGGTCACCAGGATTGTTAGAGGAGAGAGGAGAATGAGAGGGCTGGGCTTGTTCAGCCTGAGGAACAGAGGACTGTAGTGGGGGAATTATATGTTACTGTTATCTTCGACTACCTGGTGAGAGGTTATGGATCCGTACTTTTCCAAGGTGCACCATGTTAAAATGGCAGCCAACAGGCACAAATTGCAAATGGAAGTGTTGTTTACATGTTAGCAACTTGTTTTAATGAGCAGCATGTTAGAAACTGGTCATGCTTTGCACCAGGGGTTGAACCAGGTGACCCCCAGAAGTCCTTTCCAACCTAAATTATTCTGTGACAAATGTGAAATACAGTTAGCTTGGACAAGTAGTACCTAAGGCTTTGGTCATCTCTGAGGCATAAAGGTTTCCCTTCCCAGTCTTCATGGAATCTCAATCCAGCCCGCATAGTTACTTTGAGAATATTTGGTGCCACCATCTTGGTGTCACAGATGTGACAGTAGCCTTTGGAAACTGATGTGCTTGGGGATAAAGGAGTGTTGCTGGCTGACTTTAGAAAGAGTATTCCTGTTTGTTTTGCAGTGCTGTTGAACTTGGATATTTAATTGTTCATCAATTGATTGCCAAAAGGTTAAATAAACGGTGCTAGAAGTTTTTAACAGGGTTTTTGTTTGTTTGTTTGGGGTTTTTGTTTGTTTTTTAAAGCCATGTTTGTTTCCACTGTGTCCTGCTTGTCAAACTAACACATGAATTGACTAAAATGTTTTATTTTCTCAGAGGAGGGGGCGGGGATCCTGGATGGGTGGAGTAATTCTGTGTGAATTAAGTTCCTGTCCACATAATTGTTTCAATTCTAATATCACTATGCTCATATTTTTTAATGGGGCAATTGTGATATATAGGGCTGTCTTCAAACTAACATGAATATTTTTAATTACAGGATTTGACACTGTGTACCAAAGAAATGGTGATGGAGAAGCCAAGTCCCCTGCTCGTAGGGCGGGAGTTTGTGAGACAGTACTACACTCTGCTAAATAAAGCTCCTGACTTCTTGCACAGGTAACACTTTCACACACAAAGCGGCTGATGTTTTTGAACAGCAGCTTGTACTGTTCGTTATAAATCACATAAACAGGAATTTCTGAGTAGGGGAGGAAACAGACCTGGCTAACTTGTGGGAAACTGTTGGAAAACTGTTTCATCTTGCTGAAAACTCCTTAGGCTCTAGAGGCAAGTCTGATCATATGGATGTATGGCATGTTATCAAGGTATTTCCTGTGTGGAAATGTGAGCTGCTTCTCAGCTGATAAAATGGTGATGTGGATGTGTTCCAGATGTGTACTTTTCTAAAAAGACAGGAAAGAAAATGAGAGAGGAAGCACTTGCATTTACTACATAAGGGAAGCGGGCTAATTATTTCATGATACCACATTTTGCATTGCCTCTGAGAAGGTTTTATCCAGATTATGATTGGAAATTTAAGTCTAAATTTCATGGCGTGAACAAGGTATGTGGAAAATACAGTCGTTTGTTTTTTTTAACTTGTCCACTATTTCAGTGGCATTCAGAACATGTTTCTTCCTCCTCTCTTTTTTTTTTTTTTTTTTCTCTTTTTCTTGCTTCTTTTTCTGGTTTGATTGGCTACATACAGCTTGTCACTTAAATTTTACATTTCCACATTTGGACTTAGAGCAGCATGGACTTGTAATAAATAAAAGTGCGAGTAGCTTTACCAGAGTATAAAAAGAAAAAAAAAGCAATCACTGCTTGGGCTGATCTTGTCTCAGAACTTGACATAAGGTTGATGGTGAAAAATTGGACTGTTTGATTGAGCTCAAGTTAGAGCTCTCAGATGGCTTACTTAAGAATTCAGTCTTTTGAATAATGCCTCCTTTCATCTATAGCTTTGAGGTGAGAAAAATGAAATGGTATCATTTTTACTTAAATCACTGAAC